GAGCTGTCGGGCAGGGGCTGGTCACGGGTCGCTGCTGAGCCAGGCGTGCTGCAGGCACTGTGCGGCTGTGGCGCGGCGCTCGGGTGCGTACTGCAGGGCGGGCAGGAGGAAGCTGGCGAAGGGAGGAACCTGGTGTTTTGCCCAGTGGTGTCTGTCCAGCAGGATGCTGTGGAGACTGCGGGGGGAAAGCCTGGAGATCCGCAGGAGAGCACCTAGCCAGGAGAGCGTAAGCACAGCACCTTGGTTACGCTTGGCAGGACCGAGAGGCTGCAGCTCCTCACCTCACGCAATCCATCCCAAAGGATCCCTTCCTTCCCCCCTGAATCTTCCTCCTTGGGGGCTTCATCTGCACTGCCCTGTCCAGGTTTGGCTCTTGGGTATTTCTCAAAAATCATCTTTCCAAGCTAGTGAGTCTCCACATTCCTGAGTACTTCTTGAATGAAAACATGCCAACAGCGAACGCGGTGTTCCCAGAACAGCCATGCCAAAGCCGTTGCTGCTTGTTCCCTCTGCCTGTCCACATGCAAGCCAGAGTGGATCAGGCTATTTCAGTGCCAGAGATCACAGGACACTCGTGTTTAATTTGTTTTGTGCCTACTGGCTCCATGGGGCCCAGAAGAGCCCAGTGACGCTACTGACCGAGAAGCTATCCTTGCCCCCAGGGATAATGGTTTAAGTAGTGATTCAGGCTAGGCATGTGTGCTCAGGCCAGTTTGTTTCACACAAAGAATGAATACAGAACAAGAACTAGTTTCAACTAATTCCTTTTGAGACCCATAGAAGGAATAAGTGTGATTTTTTGAATGAACCGTGGTCGGTGAGCATCAAAGCAGAGAAAGAGGAAGACAGATCAGTTGCGGAAGGATGGAGTCATGTGATGCCTTGAAGTCAAAGACAAGGATTTCAAGCTTAATGAGTCAAAGGGAAAGGAATTGGGGAGAATAAAACAGAAAAAACATTACAGATGGGTCAGAAGACTAAATATAGCAGCCACGTTGGAAGGATATGAGTGTCCCATTCCTGATCATCATTGTTCTCTGCCAGTGTTAACGGGTGAAATCCAGCCCATTACTCACTATTTTCAGCCTTCCTGCCATGTAGCTGTTTCCTGTCCCTATTTCCATTCCCTCCACATCCAAAGGAGGAAGAATGGAAACTTTTTCCCTGTTGGGTGTTTGCTATGATAATGTTTCAGGATTCTGCATTCATCCCTGGAATGCTCCAGGATTGCAAAGGTAGGCAGAGCAGGAAGTGTTACTGCTCTTTATGAAATATCCACTTGTCTTCTGTCCCTGCTTGTAGCCTGTGTTGTGTAACAACTTCTGGGGTGAAAGCTCTGTGAGCTCAGTAGGAGCGTGTCAGAGATCTACAATGTTAAGAGTAAACTTCCTTACTCCAATTCTTACCTGGCCTGCTGAAAAATTTTGTTGCCTTCTTCCAGGAGAATGCAATTTGAGGAGGAATTCTTCCCAGGAGTTCAATAATACGAGCAACGTGATCTAGGCAGAGGGAAAGAAAACACATCTAGACACAAAGATCATGACACTTCTGTCAGTGAAATGAATAAAACTGATGGGAGTCCTACCGTCATCTCTGGAGAAATATTTCCCAGGTTGAGGATCAAATAGACATTCCCCAGTTGCCATTTCAAATGCCTAGAAATGGGAGGAGCATTGTTAATTTACTAACTTACCTGGAGGTTTTTTTTCCCCATTAACTCTGATAATACCAATTTCCCTTCCTGTCACACAAAACTGATCCTAAAATATGGAAATACTCACACTGCTTTGATCCATACCATAGTGAAACAGCACCTTCAAAAAGCAGGATGTGCCTGATTCAGTCAGATCTATGAGTTAACATACATGGAGTGTGAATTGACTTATAGCTTAAGCTAATTAAGAGTGAATTTTATCAGCAGCATACTTTCAATCCAAAGTGAATGAGTGCAGACAGCCCCTTTCTCCTCCTCACCGAGGAAATCTTGCTCCCCAGGCAGTGGGTATGGGTGGGTGCTGAGAACATGCTGACAAGAATAATGGCCACAATGACAAAGTACTGACCAAAATCACCTTGTGACCCTATAAATACTGATCCTATGTGAGGCCCTTTAGCGCTCTCCAGGATTGCAGCAGACTGCTACCCCATAATTCCCCTCCTTGAGTTGAATCTTGGGGTAGATTTTCACTGTCTGCTGACAAAGCTGACAAAGGGAAAAGAACCGTCTGCTGAAAGCTGACGAAGGGTGAGAGTAGTTCACTATAGTTTGATAATTGTAGGATCATTTGGGTACCAAAAATTTACTATAGTCTGCAGAGAAAGACATCTTAATAATAGGTTAATCTCTGTATCTATCTCTGTGTGCAATTTAATTTGAGGAACTTTGTTGAACTCTTTAACTCGCTGTGTTGATTGTAACCAGTTGTTGATTTAACTCACTGTGTTGATTATAACCAGTTGTTGATTATCAGTGAATTCAGTTCTGCTAGAAAATCGTATCATCTGATCTTGTGATTTACTATAATAGTGTTAATGAACCTTAAATTTTTTCCATTCTAAAGTTACAAAAAACACATCATCCCATGTTAAAGCACTACACAGAATCCCCTGCACCTAATCCCTTTAGACATAAACCCTTGACCAAGTCTGGGACTAGGAGTGGATCCAGCCACACCTGGACTCCTCTCTGAGAAGGAGTTTGTGATTTGGCGGGAGAACTTCCCTAAACCTCTTTACCTAAACCCTTTTTTTAACCCGGTATAAATCACTCCAACCTGATTCTGATTCAGTTTCCCCAGATTGCTGTGTAAATAATTTTCCCTGATCCCCATAGGAATAATTTCCCCTGATCCCTGTGTAAATCATTCTAACACAATTACACTTTTTCCGTGTAGTAAGTAATAGAGTGAACCTTGCCATCCAACTCTGTTAAATCACGCTTTTTACAAGTTTATATTAAAGTAACTTTTTTCCTAGTATCTTTGGTGATGGTTCTTTAAGCCACCTGATGAAGTCCTTCGACACCTGGCCTGTGACTGTCATCATCTCCCACGCACACACAGCTCTGTCCCCAGTCCTACCAGGCAGCCGGTGCTCCAGATATCCGCAGGAGTGCCGTAGTCTAATCCAAGAAGCACTTCCAGGGCCCGGTATGGCTGGGTCTGTATCTCCTTGGAAAAAGGCTTGTACTGAAACAGAAACAAATGCTCTTTGGTTACCGTCCATAAATGAGTGACCACAACGCTTGTGGTCAGGAGCTTCCCGTGCAGCGAGGAGGACCCTGTGGGGCAGAACCACATACGTGTACCACGCTGGGCACGAGGCACGGCAGGCACGTTCTCAGCCCTGCTGATGCCAGGGTGAATTTATCTCCCAACATTTCACACTGAACACTGTTTTGACTTTCTAATTGTAGGGACTAACTGCACACTGAAGAAACATCCAAAATTGACAGTGTCTCCAGGAGTACAGGGCCCAGCTCTGAGCTGGGAGTGCTGAATACAACAGCCCTCAAAATGAGCATCTCATCAGCACACGAGATAGCTATTCAGCTGTAAAAGGACAGGCGCCCGGGGTGTGATGGAGGGAAGCACACAGTGTCCCACATCCTCATGGGACTGAGACCCGGAGCAGACTCACTGTCCAGCACGCGCTGCCCAGGTCTGCAATTTTTACTTCTATGCTCATTAAATCGGATTCTTCCAATTGATTGCCAAGGTCATCACCTAGGTGGAAAGGACAAAGAGAAATCAGGTCTTTCCAAGCCAACAGGTATTTATCACTTGCTGCAGGAGAGGGATGTTTGCTTTCCCTTTAAAAGTCCTAAAACACTTTTTATCATCGCTCTGTTTTTTGGGGAAACACAAAGGAAGAGCTGGTATCAGGTCAAAATCCAAGAGGACGTTCAGGAGGACAGTATCTTGGAGCAGAACAACCATGTGCTCCTGTCCTGCTGCAAGGTTTCTCTAGCACCCAGGTCACTGTGGGCTCAGAGGAAAGCACATCCTACCAGCACTAGTCAGATACAGAACGTCTGTTGTGCCTCCTGAGCCTTCAGCAATCCTGGCTGTCACCAGCCTTGGACACAGCCTGCTTGTCAAGCACCGTACAGGTTCTGTTTTCATATGACCCTGCAAAAGGGTGATTTTTGGTTTACCGCTTTACAGGGAGCTGTCAGTCTGTGCCTAATATTGTGCCTTTCTGCTCCAAGCAAGACTCTGTCACTGATGTAGCATTCCCTGATTGCCCCAGAGTTTGAGAGGCAAAATGGCACCGTCATGGGAGAAATGCTCATGGGAGAACATCGTGCAAGGAAAATATAGAGGATCTCATAGCTGGGAGATTAGCTGATCTCTCAAGAAACGTTCCAGCGCTGTCTTATTCTATATTCACACCATTCTCTGCAAATAAATTATGTCTCAAAAGGCCTTGAAGATTACCAGGACATACAAGCCTCCTACAAACTTCAGAAAGACGGGAAATAAAGAGCAGAAGTGTTGCACAGCTTTCTGATCAAACCATTTCGTATGTAAACCTTTCAGTGGCTCAAAACACCAGACATATGGGGACTATCCTGGACCTAAAGCCGTAAGAATGAGCTCTGAGGTCGTGGTGGGGCTGTTAACAGAGGCCCATCGTTTGTAGGTGTCTTCCACACGAACCTACCTGCAAGACCACATTTCTGGCAGTGCCTTGAGTAGCTTGTAGCTGCTGAGCCTGATGTTTGTGTGAAGCAGAGATAAGAGAGGCCTCAGCAGCATAAGCTGGCTGTACTGTTTTGTACTGGCCGTTGCAGGAGACGGGAACTTTTCTTAAGATATCTGTACCTGCTGCCTCTCTGTTTCCCTTCTGGCAATAAACATGTAAGTCCCTTTTCTTGTTAAAAACAAAACAAACCCAAAACCAACAGAGTGCTCACCTTGTCCCTTCAGCCTCAAATCTGTTCTCTGGCTGCAGTCGAGCATATCAGCCAGAAGCCTTTGGAGGCTTTTGTCACGTCCACACAGCAAGACGTTCTCCGGTTTGATGTCAGCGTGGATGATGCGGCAGCGCTGGTGGAGGAAGTGCAGCCCTGCCAGCACCTGGGCCAGCAGGCAGCAAGTCACATCAGCAACACCAGTGTCCCCACCTCCTCCCCTGCCCCAGCAGCTGTCGGTGCTGTCACAGCAGTCAGGCACAGCAGATACTCAAGTTGTGGATGTTCTGGTATCAAAGAAAGGGGGCACTGATGATAACGATCTGCAATTAATTGTGTCTGTGTAGTGAGCACCCTGTACCAAGCTGGAGGTGCAGCCAGCAGAGTGGTGAGGGTGGCTGGGGTGGCCCTGTGGGAGCAGGCATGAGGGGTTTCATTGCACTCACAGGCTGGAGGAGCGAGGAGCGGTGGAGTCCCACGTGCCCAGCATGCCGAGTGAGAGGGGGACTGGGGATCCCAGCAGGGAAGGGGCTCTCTGGGGAGGTGGGGGTGACACACAGCTGAAGGCAGCATGAAAATACACAGTGATCAGCATGGATGGGCAAATCCAGAGAGATGGAAAGAGGACAGGGCTACGATGAGGCATTACAATCACAAAGCTGAACTTTCTCCTGATAAAACGCTCCTGTTTGTGTGTCCGT